GTCCTCAGACATCACCATAATAAGCTCTAGTTCATTTCTCATATCCCTCATTGATACTGAGCACCGGGTCAACTTTTGACTCCACAGCTGAACCTCTAAGGGTCACCCATAACATGATCCAAAATATCTCACTAACCTCCTTCGTCAACTATCTCGGCCCCGTGATACACAAGTCACGAAATTCTCTTTTCCTCATATGAAAACTACCATCCAACCCAGGGTCGACTCTACCCCGACCTCTGATGTCTGCTGCGCATATCTCCTGCGTAACTCGCGGTATCTCCCGTACCCGAGTACTGACCTATACAGGTTTTAGACATCCGACGACAACAATACCCCTCATCCAAGAATTCACCTCAGAGTTCTAGAATCTCATCTCGTTTACCCACACACCATCAATGCCAAACTCAACTCAAGAGTTTGGTCCGTTCCAAAGTTGGAACCTCATGTCCCAATGAAACATTCATCTCATGACTCAACCCGCGCCCCGCGCAAATACCACCTTTCCAATCCCTTATGTTGCGACAATCACCACTCAAATCAAAATATAATGATTCCCGTCAAAGACGGAGACCCCAGTCTCGCTCCTGGTTCAACTACCAGGATCCAAAAACTCAATGCTAGGGTTACTCAAGCCCAAAGCTCTTCTGCATCATACTCTGATCGGAAAGTACTTCAACATCACGCTCTCTTGTCATCTAGCGAGTACTATGGCTCCCCGTATCATCACGACAGCCTCTGACTAGTGGTAGTAGTAGAGGGGTGAAATAGTCCCCAGTATCCGGTCGAGAGGACCGAAGGGGAGGCCAGCACCCAGATATGCTAGGCAGTATCCGGTCGAGAGGACTAAAAGGGAGGCCAGCACCCATATATGCTAGGTAGTATCCGGTCGATAGGACCGAAAGGGAGGCTAGCACCCAGATATGCTAGGCAGTATCCGGTCGAGAGGACCGAAGGGGTAGGTCGGGCACCCAGATATGCCTGACAGTATATGTATGTTATGTGATTTTATGGTATGTGGTACGATGGGGGAACTCACTAAGCTTCGTGCTTACGGTTTACAATTTTGGTTTCAGGTACTTCGTTTCAAAGGAAAGGAGCCGGCTCGGTCGCAGCGCATCACACTATGTTTTCCGCACATGAGATCCTTGGGGATTACACTCTGATATGGTTTTATGATACTATGTTTTGGATTACTGACACTTGGGTTTTGACATGAGACATTATTATGAATCTTTCTATACTGATGGTTTTATGTAATGACATAATTAAAATGAAATTTTTGGTCTTGAATTTTGGGACGTTACAAATCGCCTCTTATGAACTCATAGAACACTAGGGTGCAATTTTGGATGCTAAGGGGCTCCTTATATAGCGTGACAAGATTAGGGTTACATCCATGCAAACCCTAATGTCCATGACCTTTCATATTACTTAGGATCCATGGGTTAAACCTCCATGGACTATCCATGGACTACCATATTGGTTTAGCCCATCCTAAATAACCATTTGCCTACATTATAAGAATAATTGATTTACTTAATCAGTCCCCGTATATTTAATTAGTCTATTTTGATCACTAAATTAATTCGAAATTAAATCTTGATCAATACTAATTAAGTAATATGATTTCATATTAATATACTAGAATTTATAATATATTAATAAATCATAAATAACCTCTTCTCAAAAGTCCATCCCATCAAATTGTCGTGGTGATATGCAACCCAAATGGACTATGCTACTCTCGGGTCAAGTACATACCAATTATAGTTATGGTGGGCTTAGACACCTAATCCAATAGGCGTGTCATCTTGGAGGAAGATGTTCCACCCTTGGAGAAGGTGCACCATTCCTTGCACAAGATGCACCATCTTGGTGCAAGGTGTGCCACATGTGTTCCTTGACGATCCATGGTATCCTTGACGAGCCGCTTATGCTGTGAAGTCCTCTATGATGCTCAAGGTTGTTTAAAGATGCTCAGAAGTTGAAGATGCTCAAAGATTATTACTTGATGTGCCACCATGATGGTTGATGAGCCACCTTGATCTTGATTTTCTACTCTTGCATCATGATGAGCCACAATGGATCATGATGCTCCATCATGTGTGTTGCTGACACTCATGCAATGCAAATCAAGAATGAATGTTCCAGAAGCTGCTGCAAGGCAGATTGTGATTGGTTGACACCATTCCGCCTATGGGCCAATGGGCCTGGCCCTTTAGGGTTTTAGGTCTGATCCCTTCATTATTAATATGGATGCATACTAATCATTTTAAAGTGTCTTGTATTCTAGATTGATAGACAAATATCTATTGAATTATACTTGTAACCACTGTTTGAGAGCTCATAAATAAAGAATACTCCCCTGCTGTCCGTAGACGCATGTCATCTTGACCGAACTACATAAATAATGTGTCTTGTATGCTTTTGATTTGATTGTTTTCTGCACTTCCTAACACCTCCGATATGTCAGAACCGGGCCTGATGGTTTATTCGAGCTCCAAAGAGTAGTTTGCAGTAAGGATGCGCATACGACTCGTGGGACCGAACTGGACCGGAAAAAAACCGGGACCCGGACCCGGACCGAACCATATTATCATATTAGCGGGCCGGTTTTTGGGTTTGATTTTTTATCAAAAATCGGGTTTGGACCGGACTGTAGCCAAATTAAAGGATTTAACCCGGACCGGATCAAAAACCCAAAAGTTATTATTATTATTTTTTTTATCGACAAACAGTAAGCAAGAATTGCCAAAATAAAAAATAATGTTGTCCAATTGAATTGATTCGACCTCTCCTGTGGATTACATTATAATGTCAATTTTTTTGGTTTCGGCCTCTTCTTTTGATTGCATTATGATGTCGATATTTTTTTTCTCGGAAAACCAAAAGTTATATCCTAATACATTTTTTTTAATAAAAATGGTGCAGTTCTTTTTAAAATAATGCAGTATTTTTTAATAAAAATAATATTGTTAATTGTATTTTTTTTTTATAAAAATAGTGCAGTTTTGTTTTATAAAGATAGTGCAGTTTTTTTATTAAAATAATAGTGATGTTAGGTGCAAATTTTTTTATATAAAAATAATGCAGTTTTATTATTATTATTATTATTATTATTATTATTATAATAATAATTATTATTATTATTATAAATAGTATAACTTTTTAATAACGTTTGTATTTGTTTGCATACACCTCATTTGCTAGTGTTCTAATTAGAGTCCCGCGGGTTACCGTTGTATTCATATTCTTTTTATGTATTTTTTAGTCGAATTGTGCAAATAACAAAGATACGAATGATGGATTTTACATAATAAATTATAATTTGAAATAGTATGTTAGAGAGTAACATGACAAACAAAACCTAAAACTATAAACAACAAACATACAAAACCCAGTTTGGTATTAGGAACAGGATTGGACCGAAACCGTCAACAACACTACCAAAGACTAATTCGGTCCAAAACCCAAAACCCGGTTTAGTACGTGGAACTGGACCGGACCGGACCGAACCCGGACCCGTTACACCCCAAAACGGTCTGGTTTTCGGGTAAGGTAATTCACGATTTTCGGTCTTTGGGTTTTCGGTCTTGGGGGCGGTCCCGTTCGGGTTATGCCCGTTGCTCATCCCTAGTTTGCAGTTTGCGATGATATTGAAGATTATCACTAATGCCTATTTCCCAAGTTTTAGCAAAGAAAAAAAAAGAACAGGAAAGAAAGTAAGGGGAGAAAAGAAAAGAAAGGAAATAAAAAGAAGTTTGTATTTTGTGTTCTCGAGTTTGAGAGAAATGAAAGGAAAATTACATATTTTGCTCATTTCTCTCAAAATCCTTCCAAAGTAAGAGGAAAGTGATCATTCAATTTCCTTCCACTTCAATCCTTTATAATAAAACTCAAAAACATCAATTTTTTTTCTCCTTACTTCCATCAACTTCTCTTCTTTTCCTTCATTAAATTGCATTCCTGAACAAGGTGCAAGTTATTGAGTTGAGACCTATTAAGATATAGTAAAAGGTGAAAGAAGTAAAGTTGCGAAAAAAGAAGATCTTGGCATGTTCATATATATATATATATATATATATATATATATATATATATATATATATATATATATATATATATATATATATATATATATATATATATATATGATTCTTTTTCAATTTTTAGTAATTGTGGGATTCATACACTCACCATATTTGATATTATATTCATCTAAGACTAAAATATTATTAAAGAAAATGTTACATTTAAATAATATATTAATCCCCAATCACGCAGAAATCATAAAGGTAATGTCAAATCTCGTAATGTGATTAAATAAGAATTCGCATGTTCTTTGATAATGCTAATTGGGTGCTGTTAGCAATAAGTCTTGAACTCAAAAAAATTCAGTTACATATCAATTGGGTTAAATATCGGAAATAATATATATGAATGGTCTACTTAGATTCTCTCAACATGAAAAATTTATCATGGACGTACGTGTCATCAGATTTTTCTACCGAACGACTCTTATCGATATATAGACCCCGTGTCTCCATCTTACCCATATTGTCTAGAGTTGTCTAAAACCAAAGTACATACTCTTATATTCATACGTACTATAAACAGCTTAAAGCTCGTACAAACAAAATGGCAGCAATTACATAAAGTATTTACATACGACATGAGATCAAATTCATAATGGTATTCAGTACCTTTTAACTTACAAGAGAAATTAAAACCTTCCAGTTAAGGACAATTCCAATTTTGGTAATTTCAACTAAAATTGAACATTCACAATCAAAATAAAAAACAATTTATAATCACTACTTAAGCTATTACATTAGCGACTAGAATAATAAGAAACATATGAATAAAAACCCACAATTGTAATAAAAACGGAAAATGCTTATCAATAGTAACCGAAAATGATGGAATTAGCTTGTGCGACAGATAGCTGAAACTGGTCATCATGTCCGAGTTGTCATGACCTATCATGACATAATTCTTCAGGCATTAAAAGCTAGGCCAGTTTGAATTTGACTTATTATCTCTTCAGTTTTTAGTTCTTTGGCTTCATCATTTATTAAAGGACTTGGATCTAATGAAGCATACGAAAGTAACTCTTGATTCTTCTGTAGAATCTCCATTTCTGGTTCATCCAAGTTCACCCATGCTTCTATCCCTTCACCACTTTTCGTGTCCATTAGAGTCACAAGATTCATGAACACAGGCAGGCCATCTCCTACAAGACCTGTCACCCAACTCGGCTTTCCCCAACCAAAATCTATTTCATAGAAACCCATCTTGCACCAGCTCGTAAAACCATAGTAGTCTATTGGCCCCATCGAGCCAATTCCAGCCATTTCTTTCAAAGAGTTCTGCATGGCAACATACCCTTCATCTCCTTGTGCTTTCTTAACAAACTCAACGTCAATTTTCGAAATACCTTCACGCACATTATTCACCAACGCATGCAACGTGGTCTCATCGCTAGGAAGCCATGCTGCATTGGAGATCCAAACCAAGTTACCAATTAAGTGATTCGACAACGTAGCTGCTAGTTTTGACCGAAGGTTCACAAAGTGAGTTAAACAAGAAGGCTTCTGTACCCCACATGCTTCTTTAGCAGCAGCCATGGCGCACTTCCATATCAAACCAGACACCACCTCAACACGAGTCGGCCGTTGCACCCCGTTTCTAGCTGCTGTGGCTCTCAGTCTAGCCATTGCATCCGACCCAAATACAAACCTCTTTGTGCAAGCCTTGCCTTGACTTAACAGCGATATAGTTAGACCCATTGATGTGTCTCTGAGCCACGAGCTTGTAGCAGGGAAGAGAGATGGTGAGGTTAAGTTTGGATACACGACTTCTTCAGCTCCACGAGCCATGTTGCTCCATCCTTTCAGAAATGTGCACAGTGCAGCCCCATCAAGGATCTTGTGAGAAATGCACAAGCCAATTGCAATCCCACCACATTCGAAAATGTTCACTTGAACATTCGTTACACGACTACCTGCACTAGACTCGTTGAAGCTAGGCTCAAATGGCAAAAACCCATTGATCAACCGATGATCAGGATGCTCTAGGAACTCGTCAAGACGACTATGGACCAAAGTTACGACATAGTTAGCACCAACATCATTACAATCGATAGAAAGATCGTTCTTAATTGTTCCTGCAAGTGGGTAAAACTGAGTCAATGTTTGAGATAAAGATTTCTTTAGAACTAGTGACCTTTCTAGTGCTTCGGAAGTGCTTTCGCCATTGCTATTAGGGTAGTACAAGATGATTGGAACATAAGGACTGATGACAAGCTGATCTAAGACAGAAAGATTGAATGTGTTCAAATGTGATGGGGTTGGGGAAGACGGTTTAATGTCCTCTTTAGAAATGATTTTTGCTTCCATAGCATGCACAGAATTGTGGTAGTCTAGAGTATATGGTTATGGTAAAGATATGACAAAACTTGGGCGATTTTATAGTGATAATATTACAATGAGATGCATGAATTATCAAGGCTAAAGATTTGATCACATGTGGTCTATTGCTGGCAAAACAAACAGATCGTGGACAGTAAATTATATTTTTTGTTTATAGGTCGTGTTTGATCATAGTCTCAAAACATATCTGTCCAATTTATATTTTATAAGATGTATTGGGTTTAAAATATGATTTCAGAAGTTTAATTTTGAAAATTATTAGTGATTGTTTAATAAAAAGTTATCTGAGATTGTATCTGTTAAAAACATTTTCAATTCTTCTTCTCGTTTGACATTGTGAGAATTGAATCGTGTGTTTTTTCCTCATTCCAATCAATTCAATATATGAAATTTAGTGATCCTTGTTAATGGAAATTACATAACCACCCAGGATATACGTTAGGAGTAGATGTACAGTTTTTTTGGATCGATTATTTGTTAGTAAATGAAAAATACAGTTTTTGTTACATTTTAGTATAATAAAATTACTTTTAAAATTTATTTCAACAATGTTTTTTTTGAAATAGACTTACATTTAAAATCATTTAAATAAAAACTAAAATGAATATACAATTAGTCAATAACATTAACAGGTAAACACTAAGAGTCTTGCGCTCCAAAATGCTCATTCTTTAAGTTTCAATTATTTCCTTGACCAAACTTACAAAGGAAAAAAAAGATAACATGGAAGAAAAATTATGATTAGTCGATTACATTAACAGAATCACGTAAGCTATGTATGATTGTTAAGGCAATACATCTTTTGCAAAAGGTTAAACCTGCAAGCTCTAATGGACTTCAAAATTTATCTTTTATTTCTCTAAGAACTCCACCTAACTCAATGTCTTCTGGTGTGGATTGTTTTGAAGCTGCCAGCAGCATCAAAAATACAAATAAGTATTGATACTCATATAATATAAACAGACAAGCTCCAGACAATAAAACGAACATTTTGACAATCTATTGCCTATTTTGGTGCATCATATAATTACTAAATAAAGAATAATAGTTACAGTTAAATCCAAGAAATAGCAACATAATTTCATATAATCTGTTTATTATAGTATCATAGTTCTATGTGGTCATACTATTGCATTATACTTTGAAACATCTTCACAATTGTACCAATGTCATAAGTATACGAAGATATCCTGTTTGCTATATTTGGGTATATTTGTCAAAGAATAACGACCCAATAGAAAAACAATGGAAGTTCTATCTAAAAATGTGGTCTAGATGACAAGACATAGATATTTCAACAACTAAGACATATACTTCCATATGCATACCCAAAAAATCTCGATGGCCCGTTTAAGCTCCAAAGAGCATTTTGAGATATATTACTTTAGTGACTTAGCTGAGATTAAGATATTGGAAAAAATCAAAAGGTCAATAATGAAAACGAAGATATGTAGCATTACTCGTATAAACATTTTATTTGTTAGTAATTGTGGGATTCATAAAATCACCAAATTTAGTATTATATTTATCTCCCAATCTCGCATAAGTCAGAATGATATTATCAAGAGATGGGATTGGATGTCATTTGCATGTTAATTGTTCGCTTCCATTAACTATTGGCAATGACTCTCCAACTGAAAATATATAATTGAGTATAAATATCAATTGGGTTTAAAATCAGTATTAATATGAATGCTCAACTTAGCTGCTCTTAAATTTAGTATTATATTTATCTCCCAATCTCGTATAAGTCATAAAATATTGTCAATGTGATTGTATGTGATTTGCATATTAATTGTTTACTTCCATTAACTATTGGTAATGAATCTACAACTTCAAATAATTGAGTATAAATATCAACTGGGTTTAAATCGATATTAATATGAATGTTCTACTTAGCTGCTATTAAATATGAAAATTCTATCATTCATGTGGAGTTTTTGGTAAATATAGATTGAATTTAGAAACTTTTTGTAAAAATAGGTTGTCATCTAAATGAAAATCTTATCAATTGGAACGAAGTTAAGGCATACCTTAAAGCCGCCAATGTCAATGAAGCTACTGGGAATCTAAACTAATCCAATGCCACAACATCAAGGAGGACAAGTCCCGGACGTACATTGATACAAACAAATCCATGACTTTCAATGTGACGGACCGGGTGGATAGGATGAGATTATGACCTCCATGCGTGGAGGAAGTGGTGAGTTTGAGAGGTAGATAGATTTTAAAAATAGGTTCATTCTAAATTTCTTTGCAAATAGGTTCCTTTGAGGACGACACCGGAAAAAGAAATGGATCACATTTTATTCAATTGTTTTATTTTAGATATTAATCCGTCAACTTTTTCTTTTATATTTTTTATATTTGAAGGGTTCGTATAAGAACGCAGATAAGTGTCTATAGCCATAAGAAACCCGATAATATTACTATTAATAGAAGTGTCCTTTTGGATTACGCACAAAAAAACAAAATAAAGCATAACTAAAAATATATTTATATGAGTGACTTGTTTTGTTAGTTAATTAATAGTTTAATTAATTAGTTAGAAAATAATAAAATATAGAATATTCCAAAATAATTTTGAATTCAATAGATAATTATTATTATATTTGGTAATTATCTTTAGGGTTTCAAATCATCACCCTATATAAAGGGGGCTCCTAATCCGGTTAATGAGAGAAAAATACCTTACAATCACCAAAATCCGGAAACCCTCTCAAAACCCTTGAATCGCATAACACCAGTTCCCACGATGTAGCGAGACACATATTTAAGTTTCTTGGATCTATTTCCTATTGGAGTTTGAGGATTGTTCACATCTGCTAGACTTTTGCTTCTTGGGTGCGATTTCAAAAGAGGAACTCTCCGTTGGGTTCTCTAGTCCATTTAACTGGCTCGTCAAAAGAAGAAACATACTAAGAAAACAAATATATGATTCTATGTATTATGTCCTATAAGTTGTGATATGGCCTTATTTAACTATATATATTTTAGGCCATTATCTTAATACATTTAATTAAAATGTTATATTTTTATATCTATGATATTTCTTTGAAATGTTCAATTACACTTAAAATCGGAGCTGGGATGCAAAAGACGGAGAACAAAGCTGAAAAGACATGCTGGCAGTTTGATACATAACATTCTGTGAAATGTTCAATTATAACAAGCATGCTAGATTTTAAAATATATATGCTAGAGTAAAATATTCAAAAATAGAGACTTGAAAAATGATCTAACATAAAAAATCTTGTTAATTTTTAAAATTTTCTTTTAGTATTATTGTGTGTGAGCTATGTTTGCCAGTGTTATGTGAGATAATTTAATGTGAATTTAAAGGTTTTGTTAAACTAATATACTATGGTATATTTGTGGCTTCACAGTTCTAGTGAAATCATTGGGAAGGAGTGAAATGGTTGCTACGCTACTTAAAAGGAATAGATGAGTGTTCCTTATGTTTCAAAAGAAAAGGAGTAGTCTTAGAAGGGTTCGCTGATGCAAACTTAGGTAGATGTGTAGATTTAAGAAAGAGCACAATGAGTTATGTAACGACCCAAATTTTACAAAGAAAATTTTCATTTTTAAACTATCAAATGACTTTTCCATTCACTAGAAAATCACAAAACATTTGTTTCAAAACCATTTCAATTACAACATTATTATAACATAATCATAGTGTCCCATCAAAACTGGTGAGAGAGATTACACACCACACCATCAGACCTTGCCCTTGCCTCTGGACTCAGATTTACCTGAAACAATCCACAAACCGTAAGCTGAAAGCTTAGTGAGTTCCCCCAGAGCATACCCCACACCGAAACCACATATCACATTAGCTATAAAAGCTATCTCTACCACATAACTTGTATTAATTAGCTATAAAGCTATCTCTACCACAAACCACATATCAATTAGCTGTAAAGTTATCTTTACCATTCGCCACAAAGCTTTCTCTACCCTTAGCCATAAATACTATCTCTACCATTGGCCATAAGGAGATCTCTACCATTAGCCCTGAAGGCTATCTCTACCGTTAGCCCTAAAGGCTACCTCTACCCTTAGCTGTAAAAGCCATCTTTACCGCACATCACTGCATATCTAAACCATACACCTCTACACAACGATAATACCGACTATCGTAAAATGGGCCGAACTTAGTGCCTTAGACCCATTGGTATGGTGACAAGACTCACCTTACAAAGGCTAAACTTGTAGCACCCGATTCCTGGTACGCCCTTAATTCAAAGTATTTTTATGTTTTTCTCTGGGACTCGACGAGTTGGAGGCCCAACTCGTCGACTAGAGTCGAGACCCGCGGGCATTTTAAGTGACCTACTCGACGAGTCGGTAGACTGACTCGACGAGTAGGTGCTGTTTGAGTGAAACCCTAATCTAAGGGACTGCACCCTATTTAAGCATCTCATTCAACCTCCCTTTGTCCCTATTGCTCTCAGAACTCTCCATATCAAACCCTAATCGTTTGTGTAAAGATATAAGGCCTTTGTGGTGGTTTTTGGTGATTTTGGAACATAAGAAGGAAGAGAAAGGCTTAAGGAATCAAGAGGAGACCAGAGGAGTTCGAGTTGGTGCACCCACTGCAGTTCTTTAGAGGTATAAAGCTGATACCTTGCTCTTTCATGTTTTAGATCCCTTTTTGGGGTGATTTAGGGCTTTTAGGAGCCATTCCTTATGACCAATCATGAGTGCAAGCATGGTTGGGGGCTAAGACTTCAGATCCAAGGTCTTTGAGGGGTTACAAGGTAGAAAGGGGCTGATTTTGGAGCCTTAGAGAACCCCATGCATCTTAAGAGTCTTATTTAGGGCCATTTGAGCTCATAGTCCCATGCATGCACGTAAAGTTTGTAACTTTACGTGCTAGATCGATCTTAGAAGCCTAGATCTATCTTTTGGTCAAGTGTTGTGCATCAGAAATCGAGAAATGAGACTTGGTCATTCTCAACTCG